CCAAATAGTTGGGACTACAGGCGCCCTCTACAATGCCTGGCTATTTTTAGAGATGAGGTCTCGCTCTGGCTCAGGCTGGTCTTGAACTCATGAGCTCAGGCAATCCACCGCACCTGGCCCTGGCACTCATTCTTTTTATTCAATATAATGGTGATTTGTTTTACTTCTTAATCCATTACTAATATGTAAACTCTATATGTATTTTATCATCTGTGTTATATTTGTTTTTAAAATGCTTTGTAAATACCAGAAGATAGACATCTTGAGTCTAACAGTTATCAACTTATCTTTGTTTCCTTATAACTAAGCAAGGCGTGAATCATTTTTTTAGTAGCCTGCAGACATTTAATTAAGTTATATGTATTTAATTTTAGTGCTCTGTTGAGACTACCATGGTGTATATTATATAGCCTGTGTGTTAAATGAACATCTGGTGTTGGTTATTATTGAACAACTAATTAATCATTGAGCATACTATTTATTTATTTTTTGGACACATTTGTCTCACTTCATACCTTTCAGAAATAAAGGACCTTTGAGAAAAGTATTAGAATCCTTTTGTAGATGAAGGAACTGAGGTCACAAGAAATGTCAATGGCTGGGCATGGTGGCTCACACCTGTAATCCTAGCACTCTGGAAGGCTGAGGCAGGCGGATTGCCTGAGCTCAGGAGTTCAAGACAAGCCTGAGCAAAAATTAGACCACACCTCTAAAAATAACCAGGCATTGTGGCAGTCCCCTGTAGTCTCAGCTACTTGGGAGGTTGAGGCAAGAGGATCACTTGAGCCCAAGAATTTGAGGTTGCTGTGAATCGTGATGCCACAGCACTTTATGGGGCTGGGGGTGGGAGACAAAGTGAGACTTTTCCAAACCTGAGCTTCCTTTCCTTCTATGGAACGCATGCTGTCCTAGATGTGAATATGACCAGGGCAGGGTGGTTTTACATCATCCAGACAGTCAGGCTTTTCCTTTGACACTCTCAATTCTGCCCTTGATGGAGGTGGGGAATCAGGTAAATATTGAAGTTTCCTACCCTCCCTTTCACATTTGATTTGCTTTCTCTTCTCAGAAGAGTAGAGGTCAGGGCGGATCTGTTCCTTTTTTCTCTTTCTAAAACGTTCATGTTGGCAGCAGTGGGGGCCAGGAAGGAGGCAGGTGAGAAGGAACGGGAGCAGCTAAGGCAGAATGGGGAGAAGCAGCTACAGTGGATACAAGCTCAGGAGAGACGCCCTGAGGAAAGTCTAACTCAGTCGAGAGAGAAGGTGGAGAGGGAAAGGGACAAAGAGCTGCGAGATTTGAGAAGGACCCTGAAGCACAAGCGGAAGGTGCGTCTGGCCTCGGTCGGTTGGTCCTGACTGGTCACTGCCGTGGCACTGTCTCATTGTGGAATCGGCAAACGCTAAAGCAAAGTCATAAAGAGAAGTATCACCTCAATTTACTGCATTGGATTTTTAAAGTTTTATATCCTGAAGTCTTTGAATTTTGCCCCACCCTGAAATTCTAGAGAATCCAGATGGCCTTGGCCCCTCTCTGTTCTGGGAGGATAGAAATAACCTCTCCAGGGCTTGAAAAGCTATTTTGGTGTGATTCTAGGATGATCTCAGATCAAACATCCCAAATCAAACAGGCTTTCATGGATTATCCGGTAGAAATTCCAACCAGGTGGATTTATTATGATAGAAGCAGCAACTAGGTTGCTGTACCAAGGTCACTGAGAATTATTAAGAAACCTACTACCACTAAGGATCCTGATTTGAATCAGTGCTGATTTAAAACTAGCAGATATATCCAGACTTGGAAAGGTGAAGTACTGATCCCTTCTAAACCTGCTGCAGGGTTCATCAGGAGAAGCTGGCCTGGCCAAGTCACCACTCAGCGCTGGGGGAACTTGTCCATCTGGAAGGGTTGATATCTGATTTTCTGATCCAGTTTCAGCTGTGCAATACAGTAACCGGTTGTTATTGATGCCCTTTCTGATTCAGTGAGTCCTTTCTGGTTTTGTTCCTAAAATGGTGCTTTTTATTTTGACAGCCCTAGGGAACAGGGAATATGGGAGGATGTGGTAAACTTTGGCCTCAGTGGGTGGAAGCTCCTGTGTTTAATGAACCCACACTTACTGTTGGTGTGCTGGGTGTTGCCATATGGGTCTTGCAGAAAAGCGATGTCACAGAAAATAAACACGCTTATTGAAATTGTGTTTTAAATAAAGGTGACCATCTGCTCACTCAGGCAAAATGGCGAGCTTCTTTATTTGTGGTTGGTTTATATAGGGAATTTTGTACATGCGCACAATACAGCAATGACCTTATTGATCCATTTAAATGTCATGTGACTACCTCGTGATTAGCTTCCGATAATCCACTCAACATGCACCTTTTGACATAACCCTTTCAACATAACCCAACTTAACATAACTTAATGGAGAACATGTTGTTAGCCATTACTTCTTTGTTCTTATCTGATGATGCCTGAGGCTATGGAGGAACAAGGTAGATTGAATACCTGCTCTTGCTGGCCTTGCCGTTTGGAGGCTGTTACTTTGGATCTTTAAACAAGGCATTCAGAAACTTCTTGGGCATACAGGAATTTGTGTGCAAACCTCTGCTCCCATGTAGGCCTTAAGTCAGGGTTTTTTTGCTGGAAACTTTTATAAGGAATTTTCAGGCTGGACTTCTCAAAAGCCTTTCACGAGCCCGAGTTTTATCTGTGCCATTAGATACCTGTATGCATTGGGTAAATTCCTCTTCCTCTTGAGGTCCCCAAGCACATTTCCATTCCCGGACCCATCAGTAAGTGACCTTCATTACTTACCACAGATCAGGAAAGGTTACTGATGGGTATCTGGCCAGTTTTCCAAAGGGCTTTTTATTGGCCTTATAAAGTCAACCTTAATTCCTTAACGCAGTAAATGCTATTCCAGGCAAAGCCTTGGTCATGTTAGGCTCACAACCAACCTGGCCACATGGGATTCTGCCTCAGTTTCTTACAAGTATGCCTGCACAAAGTCTTTTCACTGCTCTCTCTCAAATGGCTTTTTTTGACCAGAGGCATATAGGTGTTTTGCCTATAGGTGGGTTTTGTGATTGGAGGTAAACATAAGGTGATGAAGACTGAGCACCTGAGATCTAGAGGAGCTAGTAAATGGCTAATTTAGATTTCACAATTATATAAAATGTTAAAATGTTCTGATAACAGTAACAATGTGGTGCTATGGCAAGACAGAGAGGAACCTCATCCAGTCTTGGGAGGTCAGGAAATGGGGCAATTTAGTCAGCAGCAGTGGTCTGTTGGCAAATGAGGATAGAAGGTGAGGAGTCAGAGTGGTTTTATAAAGTCTGTGTCCCATGTGCAAAAGCCCATGGCAAGAGAATATGCCAAGTTTGTGAAATTACAGGAAGTCCATTCTAGGTACAAGTAAGTCTTCAGCACTAGACTCCTGAAACGTATTCCTGGAATGCATCCCTAAAATGTTTAGTTGAAGACAACATTTCCTTCTCACTCATTGACTTTTAATTGTGGGGCAGACTCTCTACTTGACATGTCAGGGGGCTCTGTGTCTGAAAATATATTTGGGAATAAACTTTGAAGACCTCATTGAAAGTCCATAATAAAAACAAAATTAAGGTGCATGTCTTATGCTCTTTCTAGTTTCCTGTTCTGATGAGCAGATTTTTCCTGTTGAGCTGATTTATAGTGCACCTAGCAGTAACAATTGCTTTTGTCCTGTCATGAGGACTCTCCCATTTATATTATTTAATTTTAATAATTATATTTATTCCTGTTTGAATATATAATCCATTCATACACAATATTGAAGGCACAGAAGACTATATGATTCAAAGTTATCATCTCATGTCTCACCTCAACTATTCAGGTCCCTTACCCTTGTGACCCTGGACACTAGTGTATTCCAGAGGGAGATAATAATATATGCATATATTCATTATTTCCTATATTCAGAGGCAGTTATTATCCACACTCCCTGCATCACTATTCTTTGGTCTATGACTCATTTTGGAGACTTTCTCATGTTAGCACAAATAGAGCTTCTTGTTTTATTTTAGTAACAGCACAGTATACCTTTTTTGAAAAATATTATTTCCAGTTGGGCAGCACCTGTGGCTCAAAGGAATAGCCCTTCACCTGGGACCATGCTGAGTACCCTAACATTGTGCACCTTAGGTGAGATCCCCCAATTCCCTTCCTATATATAGAGTATTCCTTTGAAAGTGTTTACCTTATCTGTAGCTGCCAGAGGGAGTTAAATATTATTTTCAATCTGCTGGCATTACAATGATCCTGCAACATATGGACTGTTACATTTATGCACTTGTGATAGTTACATATGTTCTTTTCAACTTGAGTAAACAAATATATACACAAATACCTCCATGTGAAATTGCTGAATCGAAGGTATGTGCATTTGCATTTTCCATACATGATTCCAACTGTTCACTTGTTCACTAGCCAGTATGAGATGCCGCCAATTTTCCTAAACTGTTGCCCTCTCAGTGTCCTGTCAAGCTGTTCTTCTTTGCCCACCATAGAGGTGAAACAAGAACCTCCTACTTTTACTTCGTCCATCTTTTGTTAGCAGTAAAATGAAACATTTTTATTCTCATATTTTTGCCTATGTAAACAATGTCATGTTGCTTTCTTCTCAGTGACTTGCAACAGCTAATTATAACTGAGATCATCTCTGGGACTAGCTTATAAATTGCAAATGCTTTCTTCATCCGACCATTAGTCTTTTTGCTTTGCTTACATCTTTCTGTGAATAATTTTGCTATCTTCTAATATGTTCCCCAAGTCTGTAAAGTATTAATTCAATCAAAATGAAGTTTGATTTTTGTGGTTGTCAGGTCTTGATATTCTTTAATAATTGCTTTTGATTTTTAGACTGTCCTTGAAGGAAACCACTATAACACATACATTGAGAAAATGACCAATGATGTGATCCAATTGTAACAAAAGAAACTTTATTTTATAATTTCCTTGCCAGGAATTTGGCCTATTCCACACCTGAGTTGAGAAATTTCATCCCTACACAAACTGGCTTAGCAGCTCAAGGTAGGGCTACAGTCCCCATATTGGCCACAGTACAAAGGGGCTTACAGAACATACACGACTTTATGCTCTGTTCATCTGTTTTTTTAGTTGGTATATTTCTTTATTTAACTCCTGAGATTTCTTTTGAAATCCTTCATTAAGCAGTTGTTCTTGGAGCTGTAAGGAAGAATAACCCACTTTTGAAAATCCCCAATTTGTAAGAGTCAGAGTTTTGTATCTAACAATGTCATTACTTACGTGTGTACCTATTTTGCTAACATCTTATGACTCTTTGATGAGTTTCTTCAAAATTTCCAGAAGATCAGGCATGAGCAGGGGGGAACATCCATGGCTTGTACCTTTGTGACATTCCCTTACTGGAGGGAGGAGTTTTCCTCCCATATAAAGAATGTGCTGGCTCGGCGCCTGTGGCTCAAACGGCTAAGGCGCCAGCCACATACACCTAAGATGGCGGGTTC